ACACACACCTGGGGCCAGTTTTCCCAGAACATAATGAACCTACCAGTCTGTTTGTGGACTGTGGGAGGAAACGCATGTGAACATGGTGAGAACATGCAAACTCCACACAGACCGCACCCCAGGAATTGAACCCTGTGCTCCAGCTCTGCAGGGCAGCAATGCTGACCACTGCTCCACCATGCTGTCACTTTAAATTGATTTAAATTGAATTATTTTTAATAATCCTCATTGAATGTGTTGTATCTCTGCTTTATGTGTTTATATGACATTCATAATGCGCACTAATAAATAGATGGGCAGTCGGGATTTTCTGTGCTTGCACAAACACTGGGTGGCAGCAGTGAGTTAAAATACTTTCAAGTCCAGTGAAGCACTCGGCTCTAATGGAGTCTTGCGATGACACAGTAGTTCTCAGCATACTCACAGTTTAGCGAGCGCTAAAGTACAATTTCCAGAGATACTACCTTCATCACTTTTCAGGCAGGTTACATGGCCTGGTCTTTGACACATGCTTCACATTCTGCACACTGGTATTGCAGCATCTTGCATATTAAAATCAGACCTTTCTGGGCACCAATCAAGAGCACCTTTGTAAAAGCATTGAGTAAAGATTCCACTATAAAAACAAATCGTCATGTTAACATGGAGTCTGTAGTGGTCTTGTCACTTTTTGCTTGCTGGACTCATTGGGAAAGAACTGTCTAAATGTTATCTGACAGAAGTGATTCCTCACAGAACATTGGGGGTAATATTACAGTGCAGTGTGTCAGAGCTGTACTGAGCACTGCACTGTGTAACTCAGTGTGTTAGAGCTGTACTGAGCACTGCACTGTGTAACTCAGTGTGTTAGAGCTGTACTGAGCACTGCGCTGTGTAACTCAGTGTGTTAGAGCTGTGCTGAGCTCTGTGCTGTGTAACTTAGTGTGATAGAGTTGTACTGAGCTCTGCGTTGTGTAACTCAGTGTGTCAGAGCTGTACTGAGCTCTGCGTTGTGTAACTCAGTGTGTCAGAGCTGTACTGAGCTCTGCATTGTGTAACTCAGTGTGTCAGAGCTGTACTGAGCTCTGCATTGTGTAACTCAGTGTGTCAGAGCTGTACTGAGCTCTGCACTGTGTAACTGTTTTAGAACTGTACTGA